TTTCTAATCCAACTTCGTCAGGGATTGTAAGTAGACTTGATGGCTCTGTTTAGAACAGTTCCATGTAGTGATCAGCGTTGTTTCGTAACATGAGATTGTTGAGCTTGGATAGCCTTTAGGTGATCCTGTAGTGTCTGGCTAGCACCGCCTTACGAGCCGTGTTATTAACAGGCGGTAACAATAGGAGAGCAAGTACAAGAGAGGCTACAAAGAATACGACCCTTCATTGGCGTCGTCACGCCAGCCACGTGTGTCCTTGTGCACAGATGAGTGGGCGTGCGTAACAAGCGACTGTTAATAGTAACCAATGCAAATGTATTCATGAGTCATTAGAACCAGTAATTCCGTGGGAGAGTTCGACTCACGCGCGATCGCTGACACCACACAATAATTCGGTCATGTGCTGTTGTGGTGTACTTCTTGCATTTCAGCTTCACAGTGTAGGTGGACCGAGATAGGCTTAGAGTTGACGTTAGAGCCGTGGAGCATCTCGCGTCTGTGTTCGACTTTCGGGCGAACGGGACCGGGTCGCTGTCGTGATTGCAAAGTGGGTTTGCAGATGAGATGATGGCACTCGTGTTTGCCGGGAGGCCATGAAGGAGTTGACGTGGATCGGCATAGTTCGAGGTGGTCATTGGTGTGAGAACAGCAGCTTCCAAGTGGTCATTAGGCGCTTCAGATGGTACTGTTTCAAGCTAGTGGATAGCTTGTGTAGCACCATCTGCCGGTAGGTGTGTGACAGCATGTGAATAAACGGAGAATCGGGCGGAACACTTCAGATTGTGAAAATGAGCCTGAATGTGCACAAACCACACTCGAGCGTTGGAGGTGTACCGATGAATGGTGGCTGAGATACTGTCGTCGGAACTGGAGTTTAGAGCAATCGGGTCACTCATTGTTAACGGAAGAGAGGATTATGGAAACTCATGAACACACTCACCAATTGGCGACTTGGTTCGTCGATGTCGCAAAATGGGGTTTCTATCTTGCACCACCTTACGGCGCTGCCAGTTAGCAGCCCGTAACAATGAGAGAACAAGGGGAGGGGAGGGGAGGCGACAAAAAGAAGGAAGAATTTGTGAAGTTTCGCGTGTCTGTGTTCGAATTCCGAGCACACACGAGCGGAGTAGCCGTTTGGTTTCAAAGTGAGAGTCGAAGCATAGTTGTGAGGCGGGATTGCACCTTCCTGATTTGGCAAGGGGAAAGTGGCACGGTGGACAGCGCTAATGGTTAGGTGTGTTTAAGGGCCGGTGGTGGTTATCGTCACGCAATCCAAGGATGGTCTGTGACTTCGACCTAAACAACGAAGTCGGTTTGTTTGCGCGAGCTCACTGCACATGAGCACCCAGCGGCACAGGTGACTGTCGAAAAGCCGCGCGACTCTCAACCAGAGACGGCAGTAAAGCGGAGAGTTACGAAAAGCACCGTGCGAGGCGACCTGAGCGAACTCGGTCACTTGAGCCGACACGATGCCCAGTTAGTGCATAGGCTGACAGAGAGTGCGTCATTTTCGTTAGTGTATGAGCCTGCGATTCGTTTCTGAACTAAGTCGACGAAGTGGTTCGCCTAGGGTGTTTATTTTAGTAGCATTGACTGACATGTAGAAATGCTTTGCAGGAAGGACGCAGAACTGGCAAGCGGAACAGACTCGTCAACTTGGGTTGACTTGAGCCATGATGTGCGCACCAATTCTCGTCATCTGATTAATGCAAGTTGTGATGCATTTTGATGGTCCGATGTGATTGTGAGTTCGATGTGTGGATTTCGTCCTGGTGGTTGTAAGTTGGTGGTGAATATGTTACCGTAATGTTTGTATTGGCAGTTTGCAAATGGACATGGAGAAGTCAGTTGGGCAGTAACGACACCAGACCAGCGGACTTCGCATGTTCTGTGGACGCCGCCTTATTTTTGTAAGCCTCGTTTTCGGTCCCAGTTTGAATCACGTACCGTCAGCCGTGGGAAAGCTCTACTGATATGTTTACACTGGATTATCACCATGTTTAATATAATAGTCCACGGCCCCCCTTGGTCTAATTGGTGGCACATCTACGGCTCACACTGTTTCACACAAATGAACCACCATTTCACACACGAACGGGCCAATTCAGGCTTGTGCAAACGCACTGAGGTGTTCTCTAAAGGCGATACGTACGCAGTTCAAGGTGACGAGTTCACTTTAAAGAGTTAGCTTGTATAATTTCGTTGAGTTCTGTATTTCACTCGCACACATTTTCAGCGACTTTCGCAGCCCCCAAGCCACAGGCATTCTAGTCACAGACTTTACCTTGATTGGTCTTCCTGTGAAGCCGCTTGGTGTCAGTCCCCAGCCTTGCGTTGATGCGACGAGGCAGACACCGCTGCACAAACGCCAGTGGGCTGTGGCCGCTTACAGCGCCTTGCTAGCAAACGACTCATCTCAGTCACTTCCGACTTTGCTCATCAGGCACACATCTACATTCTTAGTTTGGTAGTTCGCGCCATCGTGTGATAGCGCTCACAGGCATTCGGCCGTGACTAATCGCACGCACCGGAGAATAGCGGGTCGTACATAACTTGTGAGTTCAAATAGGCACACGCGTTGGTGTGGTGCAAATGACTACTTTACATTTCACGAATGACCGGTGATTAAACTGAGTAAACGTCATCGCTTGTTTCAATCTCTAATTATCAACGCACAGCACACTGTGAATATTTAGAAGAATCTGCTACTAAAGTTATGGCAGTAGAATGTTTCGTGCGTAACATTACGGTCATCGCCATCACCCACCGACTAAAACCCTTTCTCAAAGTAACAAAACAACTTCCGCTTTAGGTTTTTGAGCAGCATGAAGAGTGTTTGGTCCCACATACGTCACGCCAGAGCGCGTTTGTAGCAAAGTTATCAAAAGGCAAGGGGAATAATCACTGCAGTTGCATCAGCCAGGAGGGAGAGGGGACAGCATCGAGGGTGCAATGAGACGCGTGGTGCAGGAGAGGAGAATCTAGCGAAAGGAGGCGGCGAGGTGTGCGTGGTATGTGGTTTGAGGAGACGCGCGGAGAGCGACCGCTGGCAACGTCGGTGTGGTGTACATGCAACTAGTACAATGTGATGTTGAGGTGAGTGGTGGGCAGGAAGCCTCGTCGGGCGCCGTCAGCGCTCACAACCGCAGTCCAACCGGGGCCGTCGTCGTCAACACCCAACACGTAGAACGTCTCGCCAGCCTTGCCAGAGATGCAGCTCTGGTTGTCACCTAATCACAAGCAAGTGTTTCACTCACCAGTGTTTTCTGGCGCACCACTAGTTAAGGAGTGTAAATTGTGTCAATAGACGTTGCAGTAGGAAGTCATGTGATGCGCACGAAATCCTACGTACCGCTTCCGACTTAAGCACTGCGCAATCCCATGCAAATATTGGGCTTTATCACCACCAATCTCAAATGTTCACTTGGTTCCATCTAGTGACCTCGTTGTAACCTGTCAACTTTTCTAAGCTCTGCAATCTCACTTGCTGCAATTTTGTTAGGGATAGCTGTGCCAAGAATCGGTTACGCATTTTTCCATAAGGGGAAATGCTTTATAATGTTGTCATTCCTTTTGATCCAAATTGGATATCGTTTAGTCACACTTTAGCAACTAGTGATAACATGCCTTCTCGAAGCACCCTACGGCCACCGTGCTGTTTCCTGTACAGACACCACGAAAGTTGATGTAGACCGAAGATGGCGGACACTCAACCGTGTACTAAATACCTCATGCTGAGTGTGTTGTCGTGTGCTTGCGTTCACATTTGTGCATGCCTAATTTAGTTGTTGACCAATGCAATTTGAATGAACTTGTAAAATGATGACTTGGAGAGGTAAATGCACAGGAACGCGTGAGCAGATGGTGCCTCGTGACTGACGTGGAGACTGCGAAGAAAATGTGACGATTGGGTGAACGGACGAGAGTCAGCACGGTCCACCACAGAGTTATTCCCTGAACTCTCTGTTATTTAAACCAATTCAGTTAAGCCTTGTGAGCACTATCGCATTCTGCGAATTTGTCAACTGTGACTACTGAAAAGCACCACACCCCAGTGCCTGCCTGCCTGCCAACTATGCAGTACACTCAACTAAACGAGCTTCGTTGAGGCTGCTTCTTGCTAACTGACACTCAAACGGACTGAACCGCGGTCTTTTGCAAGTAGCAACGAAAGGTTGATTCCATACAGCAACTACGTTTAAAAGACTGCTTTGTAAGCGAAGTAAGGTAAAGCAGGAGAGAGGTTGGGACAGTGAGAACAACCAGAATTTCCTGCCACTAATCTAGGATGCTGTTTTCAGCGAGTGCAGCCAAAGCAAGGGGACCAGTCGATGGGAGGAGGTGAGAGTTGGCTAGTAGGAATGGGAATGGGCGGTGTTGCAATGCATCTACCACACAGATCGGACGATGCCTCTGTTCCCACGAATACAGACACTAGACGTTGCGTGGCGGGGCATTGACCCATGGACGCTTACTACTACTACTACAACTGCTTCAGAGTAACACGTCAGCAGTTCGTTGTATTTGTGTGAGACTAATGCAGAGCAGGCATATTATGAGGCCTAAGTCCGCTGAGGCCTCTCTCCTTTGTTGGACGCTGAAATGGTAAAAAGAAAGTGATCAGGTAGAGAACAGGTAGTGTGAATTAGCATTGTTTTGAGAGCGCTTAATTTATGTGGTAATGGTGTTTCCATAAAACCCATATCTTTTCCTCCTTACCATTCAGCACCGCGGGGATGTCTGCTTGTGGCAATTTCGCAAGGTTAGTAAATGACCCTAAGCAGCGCCACACCCTGGATTTGAAGGCGGCCTCCCACTTTTAAGGTAAAACAATGCCTCGAGTTCACGCAGTTCCCCTAGTGTTTATTTCTGGTCTGTTTGACATCCACCCACTGGTTCTGAGCCATTGACATTGATGTCATTAAAGGATAGTTGGAGAGGAGACTGACGTCACCTGTGGCTATGACCTCATGAATATTCACATGACCGAAGTCAGGCAGTTGGCATTAACCGCACTCCAGCGCATGGGTCTCCAGCCTTTTGTACTGCGGATGACATGAATGCATCGACTGAAGCTGGCAGGGTTGCTCAGCGTGTCTGCCAATCTAGAACCATGATCCACCCCCTCCCAACACCGATTCTGATGCGAAATGCTGTGCAGTTCCGCATCTGCGACCGAGTTGCTTCAACAAGGCATCATTAGCCCTGAAACCGAGTGATGCTTGAAAAAGTGCTTCTCTGCAGCAACTATTGAGCCTACCAGGCTAAATGGAAACGAGACATTCGGAGCTGGGCTGTGCTGCTAAATACCTTGCATGAATTTCGGTCCACGCTATGCCATGGTACTGAGTTCTAGTACCTCAAACCACTAATCGGTTAGTATTCTTTTATCGAGATTTAACGATGTCTTGGTAGCCAGATATTCAATTGGGATGGCGCGTATACTTTGAAAAAATTAACCACCGCTTGATTCTGTGAGCACCATCTCGTCTCTCACAGCACTGTGTAAACTTTGGGCGTTGGGGACAAATAAAACTGCACGTACGAGACGGGCACTTACGTCGAGCTTCCTTTTCAGGTGGCGTTCCAGAGATGGAGTAACTGTGGCCCCTATCAAAGTTAAAATCGGTGAGCCAGGCCTTGGTCCGCACCCAGCACGCGTCCTCACACAAGAAGACCTCATACAAGACCACTGCCAGCAAGCAACCGATCACAGGTCCAGTTAGGTAGATCTAAATAAGCCGGGTACAATTCAGTTTCTTCCGATCCAAACCTTATTGCTTGACACACCCCACGTGACAACACGTCTACCTTCTTTCATGTGGACCACAGTTTTGTAACCGTCTGATATTGTTGCTTCATGGAATGACGTGGTGATGAAGTGCCTTCACTTTGTTAATTTTGCCAGATGCACAAACACACAGGTGTTACTGCTGGTTTGTGAAAATGTACAGGTTTTTTTCCGGTTAGGGGTGATCAAAATTGGGTGTTTTAATAGGCATGTTTGTTGCCATGGTGTGATAAAGTGTTGAGCCGTGGGGGTGCCCCAACGCCCTATTTGCGTTCGGTCGCCGATTTCTATTGGCTAGCGTTATGCACGTGCCCGGCTCTCACGGTCACCCACGTGCCATACACGTGTGAGCATTGCGACGTGTGACTTGGCGGAAGCCAAGACACATGTCAGTGTGGCGATGCTAAAGCGCTAGAAATGCAAACACCGAGGTGCTGCGAGGGGCAAAACTCCATTAGCCTCAAATGATTGGATGTTAACGTGGGTCCGACCTGCGACCAGCGTTCAGACAGACAGAATGTGCAACTCGCATCATCGAAGTTAAAAACAGTCAAGTGTATTTCAATCAATGCCACCCTACCCATTGTTTACGAAGATTCCACTTGATAGCGGCTGCAACAAGGCTTCTGAATGGATGCATTGTTGATCCAGTTATGTTTTTCTAGGTACAAAGATGAAAATCACTAGTTGAAAGCATAATTAGGCAAGTCTTCACCAAATAATCGCGACCTAGAAACCCAAGTCACTTAACACGTTGTTTTCAATTCGGTGATTCATCAAGCGCACAATCTGTGTCCTCCTCTCTCACGTGGCATAGACGAGTGCCTTGGTCCATTTGCAATAAGCCTCAAACAAGACCTAATCAGTTGCGCCACATGCGAGAACCCCTGCAGACCAATGCGGTTGCCCACGCACCTGCTCACATGGGAATGGACCAGTTAGTTAGGGTTGTGTAAAGAGACTTTTCATGATAATGTGAGCTCAGGCAAGTAATGAGTGGATGCTGATGACTTAAGCCTGACCCTAGTTAAGAGAAATTCCAGCCATATGACGCACTGAATTCACATGCAAATGCGTGGCTGCGTGTTTCCAACAAAACATTCGCAATTCGTGTCAGCTCAAAGCTAGGCACTTGACTCTCCATCTGTAGTTTACAACTAAGATGCATCGAGTGGTTCGTTTGTACAAACCACTGATTACGGGTGACGCATATTCGAGTGTACAAGGCAAAAGTGAATGTTGAATGCTGCCTGAATGGCCTCAATTAAGAACGCTAACACTCACGAATACGATGATGTTGACAAGATAAATTAGCATATGAACGAAGGCGATGGTGGTCCCATCACCCGACGTCCAGATAATGTCTCTCTTCTCGTCCGTGGCCGCGAGGATGATAGTGACAATGAGAAAGGCGCTCAAACACTCCACCCAGAAGGCCTGTCCATCTGACGTAGAGTTCCTAGGAAAGGCCAATCCAGTGTCGGGCCAGGACTTGGCGAACGGTGAAAGGCAGTATGTCAAAGACAGTGAGAAAGCAGCCCCCAGAAACTGTCCGAGCCAGTAAATGGGCATGTAGATCGGTGAAATTCGCCGAGTCAGTCCGATTGCGAGAGTGACGATGGGATTCACATGGGCGCCTGATATGGGATACACTGTCCAAATGGCTCCGTAAAGTAAGCCGGCAACCGCAACAGCCTCAGAGACTGCTGCATATACATTACGTTCGTCGACGAGAAAGCACGGGAGAGTGAACATTGCCGAGGCGAATAGTTCGGCGAGAAGTACTCGCAGGAGGAGGTGAAGGTGGCTCTTGATGCCAGTGCCCTTCTTCTTCAATGTGAAATATGGCAGTTCTTCGCCATAGTGGTTGCAGGTATCAAGTCTATAGTTAAGGCGAGTTAAATTATCGACAGTTTTTGAACCACGGTTTTTGCTATTCCTCCCCTCAGTGGGACATTTGCTAGCCCATAAGACTCTTCATCGAAACTAGGACAACAGAATGCTCTGCTGCTTGGAAATCACGATCTTCAGCACTAATAACTTCACTGCAGGCTCTATCGACTTTAAAGCAATCTGGTGTGGCCTTGTGGGTGTTACAGGGGCTTTGTGACTCACGCTTCATGGACGCCTCCCACGGGCTAGGAGTGGTTTGTGCAAATTGATTGATTTCGAACAAGATAATGAAAACCGACTGATGTGAGACGCGTTGGGTGTTAAAGCAATCTTTGAGTTTCTCCTGTTTCTAAAGGGATAGGACAGCTCTGATTAACATCACCTAGTCTTCACTCTAAGCTGGTTAGCCAATTGTTTGAATTGTTCTTTACAAACCAACAAATCGGAAATCCGGCTAACACGCTTTGAGCAGGCGTGATTAAGAAAATAACTTTCGACATTGTGGATGAGGTCACACAAATGCAGGTTCCTCTAGCCCTGGCAGTTCATTGGGCCACAATCGCCGCAGACGCGTAAACAACTGTGTAAGGGGACGACAATGCACTCCCTCTCGTTTCAAGGATGCACTCGAAATCAAAGCCCAAAAGTGACCTTCAAGGAGACACCAGTAACTGGAGTCGGTGTCCACATTGTGCGACGAACTTCGACCAGTGGACTGGCGACTGAGTTGCAGCAGTCAGCTACGTTTAGTGGAAAGTCCTTTGTGGTAGTTTTGTGCAACCCACCAAGATGCAATCGTGGTCTAGTCGTAACTTGTGTTCCACTTCCTGAAAAGGCTCTATTAGGACTTAAATGGCCTTCACGCGAAAGTGCCAAGATATCTCTTTGGTGTCCACTTGTTTTGCCCAGCTCTGACCTACAGCGTGAGTTATTGCACAAAGAGTTGTTTAAACTCATCTGCGTTACGATCATTCAAATTCTGCTGAAGCACACGCAAACAATGAGGTGCTTCAGTGTACATCACCACTGAACTTCCTCTGGATAGTGGCTCACAATGTTGGAACGTTTTGCAGCATAATTTAATGTCGCCTACAACAAGGTGATAAAGAACAAAAATATAACGTTAAATCACGAGAAACGCTTTCGGATTTTAACTTAGGGAAAGTTCTTTAAAAAGTGAGCAGCCTGTACGAATTTGTAAACTTTAAATACGAGAAGACTTGTGCTCAAAATGCAGCGCCAACTTACGGGAGCTTCATGCTTTGTGTGTGGACTGCCACGTGACCAGGCCCTTGGACCAACGACCGCCAGATTTATTGATCATGTCCCAACCGAAATTAACCCTTCAAAAACATGATGCGATCTGCGGTGCTGAGGGCACCGGCATGTTGTCATGACCCACGTCGGGGTCAACGATTTTCACTGACACGGCTCACCGACAGAAGAGCAGAAATGCAAATAACGCGTAGCTCAACTACTTTATTATATCAGTAATGGTGTGTGTGTGTATTGTGTACAAGATAACAAGTTAGATTATGCGAACCTGTTAAACACCAATCCCTGAACGGACACAGTTACGTGAAGTGCATTCACGTAAACCAATTGAATCAGGTTCGGTCACGTTTGCAGCGTTCGCTTGCTGCTCGTCACAACAGCTTATAGTTTCACGTATCATATTGTACAATTTACTAAATAATGAAAGAATGAAAGGTCTTTTTTATCCTCACGTATTGAATGGTTAGGTAAATGTCAAATTTGTCCGGTGTACGCATTGGCCACCACTTTGGGTTCACCACCCCCACCCCGACTTTAAAAGTAAACATTAGGTAATTCTGCAAACACTCATGTCCTCCATTGAACTTATTATACCTCCTTGGTGGTCATTTCGAACACACCTTGATATCCTTAATCGCAACTCCTCTGCAGTTGGCTTTTAGACCTAACGATGAGTAGGAAATAGCTGGAAAAACTTAATTTCGCCAAATAACGGTTTTGTGCGATGACTTGTAATTACATTTTGTACAACACCTTCATATAGTTTGTCTTCGTGGATTTATACACGTAGTTTACGTTCCCAACGAAGGCAGAATCATAGATTTCGTGAAACTCTAATATTCAGGGTAAGACTAAAACCCAGCACAGATGTTTATATTCATGAATGGTCACCAGGTAAAAAATAACACATAATCGTTTTTCGTGTACGATAAGATCGCTACAGCTAATTGAAAGTGACTACGACAGTGTTAGTCAGAAGCCCATGGGAACCCTGCAATATCTACCACTCACGCCTGTTCCATCAAAGACTGTTGGTGGATCATATTATTATCGGTAAATTTGCATAAGACACCGCCCAGAACGCCACCTAGCTATCCAAGCAGTTCCACGGCATCGCGTCAAATAACCTCTATATACACGCTACTAGGGAAATCTCCTGTAAGTCCAATCGCTAACTTAAAAGCTATTTAAGAAATCATCCTAAGCACTCCTACATCTGAACATATTTATTAAAGGTCATGGTGGCCGATTGACTACAACATCGAATTCATCCTTCGCCGTGACATTCACGGCACGGTCGAGCTGACAGGACGCAGTCTCAGTTCATGTTTTGCTGGTGTCGTTTTTCTTCCTGACAAGGTTGCAGCTCAACTTACACTAAGTGAGGGTTTTCAGTTGCATCATCATCATCATCAAAATACTTATTTTCTCAAAGGCCTTTCAACACTACCTGATTTGCAGTCACCAAAACTGGTCGTCCGTGATATGGTACCCAGCTATGCCTCCTGCTTGCTGATTTTCTGATTATGAAACCTTTGAATCAGTCAAACACTAATGAGACGTTACCAGCCCGTTGTAGCAGCCTCACGACCGCACTACCGACCACAAAGTGGTTTAGTTCCCGTGGTGCATGGGATGGCTTTTCGACGAAGCTCAATCATGCTTTTGCAAGAGCCAGATTCAGCGCACGTTGAAGTGTAGTGAATCCTGTTGATTCCCGTCCAATAACCCGGTCGCTGTAGAATCACACACACGTCCCCATTTCCACGGCACACGCGCCTGTCCATTCGCTCCTCTGCATGCACCAACACTGCGCGCCTCGCACGTCACACTACAACTTTGTTGAGCCGTTGAGTAAACAGTCGTGCCCAGCCACTTCTGGTCTTATTTCTTTTTTGGGCACTTCGCGTTATATTGGGCTGCAGTAACTATTTTAAAGATTATTTTTCATTACTACGCAATTGCCTTTGAATGTGTGAATTAGGTTCACTGATGCAACAGCAACTATCCGGTAGTCCATAATTATTGCCTGCCTTTTTATCTTCAGTGTAATTTCGCATTAATCTAGCAGAACGAAGGTTCTATCCTAGTTGCTTGGTTCAATAAATAGGTCTCTTATCACCCTATACAGAGGATGAAAGTCAAGTGACTATGCAAACATAACGTCAAGCGTAGTGATAATAATCAGCTCTCTGTCAAATTAGAAATACAGTGGAAACGCCGGTAACATGGTCGGAAAATGTATACCTAGCAGCAATTGTTTTCCAACTAAATTGAGCAGAATCCCCTGCTTGGTTGACATGAAACTAGGTACTACATGGGTCTACTTAGGTTTAAGTTATCATGCTTTAAAGCTTGAGTTGCACTTGGTGATAGTCACGAAAGATTAACGACAACAAATTTTGTCAGCTCCACCTGAGGACCGAACTTCACCAAGCTTGCTTTTTTTGAGTAAATCAAAGGCGCAGTCCATGAACGTTTATTTTGAATGAACCATCGAGTTCAGCGTTCAGCCATTTTACTTATTTTACTCTTGTCCTATTTGGAATTATGCCATCTTGTTGCTTGCGTTCTCTCTAAAACGAGAAAAAAAGGCTTCAATGTTGGCAGACTGTGTACTTGCAAAATACACCGTTATAAAAATTTCACATCAAATTGAGAGCATGGAAGTGTTTACAATGCATGTCTGCTCCAGAGTTCACTTTTACTCTCAGGATTTCAATTAAGATGCACCAGGGACAATATATCTTCCAAGATTAAGTGAAATATATCTTGCGATGTCAGCAAATCAAATCAGTGCAAAAATGCATAAGCAGGATTTTTACTACTTGAGGTCAATGCATGAGTCATTAAAAAGAGATTTCATTCACAAGTTATTTAGATTATTAAGCCAAAGAAAAAAATTGTGGTATATCTTTGTTACACAGGCACTGCTGCTGTAGTATCCATGTCATTAAGGGCATGTCATCTAAATAACGCAACGTATACAAAATCACACGAGGAAAAAACTGAATAGTTGCCTTGGGAATCGCTACATCAATCACAATGCAGGCAACGATTCACAACTGTTTGTGCACACATGCATGTACAAACTGAAACAGGACTCATTAAAGCAATGTATCATTTTCTATAATTATTGCTCATTATGATGTCCTTTCACACACATATTACTATCATGCTTTTAAATCACATTTTAAAGAATCAGTTCCTTTGGTATATACCATTCCCCCCACTGGTATGCTTTACTGATACCAGTCCTTGCTTCAAAATGGGATCGCTTTGTCTCTCAATAAAAAATTACCAAGTGGAATCTGATTTAAAACGCAGTATGGATGCAGCACATTTTCTCGAAAAATTACTGCAGAATGTTTCGATTACCAAGACCTATGGTGACAGAAAAAAATAGGAGCTGACTGGTTGCTGCATGTAATTTATGCAGGATTACTACAAAACACCAAGGCCTTACCGCTGTCCTCACTTTCATCGAAATGTTTAATATGGTAATTTTTTGTGCACACCAGGAAACGAGCGCTTGAATGAAGCTCGTAACTGATCTTTTACTTTTTGAATTATTGAATCGAGGGTCGCTCACCCACAACGGCCCCATATCCTGGGCCCAGACACCCTTGGTTTTCACGTGACCACCAAAATTCAGGGCCTTTCTTTCGTAAGAGGGCCAGAACTACGGACCTCTTGCAAATTAGATAGTCGACGACCTCTGCCTAATAATATCTGAATGCTAGAAAGCATTTCTTTAATATTCAATGATAATAACTTTCTCAATGACCGTTGACTGTTTCCGACCTTCTCCCTTTTGCCCTTTCAAATGTTTGACAAGATAAGTTAAATTAGCTCAAATCGAGAAAAGCGAGTACTCTGTTTCACGATATTGTCCTTAGAAGTCCCAGGTAGCATGAGAGATATAAAATTATTCAACTTATTCTATAAAACATAAATTACCAATTTAGTCTAGTGTTTAAGATACAAGATAATGTATGCTTAGTTTTTTTATGCCCTTCGTGTAATCGTGAACAAAAATCTTTGGTAAGCACGTGGAGGAAGGGCACCAGGCTGCTTACCCGTCTGTGCTCGGTCTGCAAGACAAGACGACTTGATGAAGAAAGACACCAATCAGTGCTCCTCCAGCTGGACCGATGATATATGGCTAAAACAGTCAAAATGCTTTAGAGTTGTGAGTAATTATGCACAGTGATTTGCTTAGCATTCACCTTACGGAGCTATAACTGCTACATTTGTTGGAACTGATGCCTCCTAAGCTAAAGTATAAAATGCTACCCTGAATCGTAAAGTCGAATATGGATAGCTAAACCAACTGGTGAGGCCTCATCAGCATGACCTTGAGGTTTTACGGTCGAATTCACAACTTATCTCTATGTCGACACACATTGACGCGCACCTCAGCGCTTAATGTTGAAAGGCTGAGTATGATTAGTCGACAATCATGAGCTTACCCACTGGTTTCTGAAGTTGTTGTAAATTATTGCCGGTCCAAGACTGCGGAATGGATTCATACAGCCTCTTGAAATAGGTTCCTAAAAAAGCCACCGACATTGACCGTAAGTGAAATAAGGATCCTATTAACTCTTATACTTTAGCAAGGCGTATAAAGTAAAGGTGATGTAAACATTCAACTACTCACACATACACGATGTGTAGACTCTCGATAGTAGCTGCCATCGACAAGTTTGCTCATTGTCGACGCTCAGCCATATCGAGTAGTGTCTGGTACATGTTATCAAAAGCCTTCAAGCAGTTATTAGGGCAAAGGTGTGTCTCCTAAAGTGCTTCATCAACGACCAAGTCGAAACTCTGGACACGCTTCTTAAGGATTATCTGTAAATGCTCACAATTTTCAAAATGCTCGAATTCCATGTTTTGCCTTGTTAGCTATCAACACTCTGGTAGGAGATGATCTCAAGAAAGTACAGAAATGTTAAGCACTAATCAATCCCTTAAACAGTCATAACAAAAACTGCAAAGTAAAAGGTAACCTACAGAAATGATAATATTGCCAATATAAGTAAGCATTAAGGGTAGTGTCAAGTCGACTCCTGTGCTGAGAACCCAGTTCGCAGGTCGATTTTCGTCGACCGTCGCTAGGTAAACAACAATTAGAACACTTGTAATAAGGATTTCCATCACAACTGTCTGCCGCTCAGTGACTTCTGGTTGCGGAAACGTCATCCCCCAAAACCGATCTTGCTTGGCAAATGGAGAAATGTATAATCCAAGCAGAGTACTCAATATGACACCTGCGAGCTGAGCGGCCCAGTAGATGGCCAAATGGTTCAATTCAATTCGCCTGGTCAGAAATGATGCAAGAGAAATAGCTGGATTGACGTGTGCTCCGCTAGTGGGATAGGTAACCCACTGAGCAACATACAATCCACCACCCATCGCCATTCCCATCATAATGGGTTCATATTTGGTCGTCGTGTTGATAAGCATTACAGGTAAGTTTACTATACCGGAGCCGATCATTTCAGCAATGAATATCCGGATTATTAGCCATACGTATTCGATCCCTGATCCGGAACCCGGATTCCCCAGAGGATTTTGAGGTAGGCCATATCTAATTGTTAAAAAAATTAAAACTAAGGATTTGAAGAACAGTTCGTAAATGAAGATTTCAGTTTTGTGGGGTAAAATATACATTAAATATTAGCAAATCATGATGTAGTAAGTTTAACACCGCTCGTCGGTTGGATTTCAAAAATGCCAGATCTGGGCTCAAAAAACCAACAGTTAGCTTAAAAGTTTAATTAAAATCGAACGGGAAACAATAAAGTAAGGTCAGTCTTAGTAAAGCAGGTGGTTTGAAATTTACTGAGAACCGAATAGGTATCCCAAGCATTAATGCACAACTTGTTTTAAGCCAAAATGCTGAAAGCTAGCTCTCAGTCGCAAAATGCCTGTTCTAACATAAAATTTTTCAGATGCATAAATTTGATCGAGTTCTGGCGTCCTAATGCTTTCTTTCTTTAACCTCAAGTACTTTCAATAATTTAAAAAGTATTTGAATACTTATATCAACTTTGGGAACAAATATAGAAGGGAAATGGAATTTTTCTGGACGACAAGTTTTTTCTTAGGACACATATTATTTGAAATAAACTTAAATTAATGAGCAGACTTTATTTTGTTTGTGACCGTGGCTTGGAAGCAAGGGAAAGCTAATCTTAGAACATGGAAATAATATTAACTCACATACACCATATTGCTCGACGTTAAAGTCGTAATTCAATGTTTCACGTGATTCAAAGTGGTAATATCGATTTTTTGGAGTTTTTATGTGGTGTGAGGCAGCCTCGAGGTCGAATGCGCCATCGTGTTTAATTGAGCCAGGGACATCAGCTGGGACGTCTCTGGGTTGTCTTGCCACCTAAGGTGAAAGCCATCGAAACCGACAATCTTGTCGTTCGGGTGTCTCCTCCGTGAGTACTTGTCCATACTAACCCATCGTAATCGCCACAACTACAAAGTCGCCATAGGCCGATCCAGCCTTAAAATTACCACGTTGTTCTTTTAATTTCAATTACATTCTAAACTGATTGCTTACCAAGAGGTGTCATAACGACAATGTATCTGTCTGTTTGATGGAATAAAACTATGTATTTTGAATCTATGGTAGAATATTCGACAACATTATCTTCGCCGGAATAAAATTTAGAGAACACGCTCATAAGAAGGTAAGAAATGCCATGTGTATTCATATGATTCAATGGCAATTCAATGGCAATTAGTTTATGCCCCAACAAGCAAATTTTAGTAATTCAAACAGAAAAAGAGTCGCCTACTTCGAATATTTTCAGATTTTACCTTGAGGCCAACGTGGGAGGATGAGTGAATTTCTTGGGAATTTATGGCAACTCACAAGACGCTTTCTTGGCGAATTCGCCTCGGCTTTCTTCGCCAACTTTCCAATCATGTTCCGCGATCCCTCGCGCCCCTACGAACCTTTTGTCAGTAGTCTCATAGTAGGCAGTGCTGTGCACTGTTCAATCTTTGCAACCTTCTTAATTTCTGGAGCTCAAATAAATCCCATGACTACTCTAGCTGTCGTGCTCTCCCGCAGAATGTCCGTGCTGTTTGTCCCTCTATACTTAGTAGCACAATTATCTGGAACTCTTATGGCTCTTTACGTTGGTTACGGACTTTCACCATTTTTAAAGAACCAGACATACTTGGGTATGGCTATGCCAGGACCAGGTGTTTCAGACAAACAGGCAATTATTTCAGAGATTATCATCACATTCTTTCTTGAGCTCGCAATTGTTGGACTCCTTGATGAGCTTCGAGCGATAACTTATCATTACTCAAACAAATTCAATGCTTTCTTGCTACTTGTGATGGTCTTTTTTTGGATTGACACAATCGCCGTAAGTTTTATTTAATTCTTAGTACAATTAGTTTGGTTTCACCATAATTAGCGCTGAATACACAAGAGAGACTTTAACCTTGCTGAAAATGAATTCTGATGAGTCTCGAGTATGTTGAAGAGAGATCTGTCCGGCCTACCGATTTGGAAGGATTTGTCCAGGTGTGCTTGGTTTCTAAGGTACTCAATGGCAAAGTTTAACACGCGGCTTTTATATACCAGTAAGCATGCTCACTTGGCAAGCGAGTGGGCCTCGCTCAGAAGCAGTGTTCAAGTCCAACCGCTGACTCCTCTCTTTCATTTTCGCGTTTAGTTTTTCATTGTACAAAATATTAAGTTCAAACATTGCGTTGGAAAATCGCAGGAGGAAATTCGAATACAATTTTATGTATTAATTTCATTGTATGATACATTACGCATGCAAGCGTTCCGATTACATTCTCTCGCTGTGGCTATGCCAACAATCTTGTGGGTTGTAGTTATCGTAAATGCCCTCAAAGCACGATAAGCTGTCACATTATAAAAACCCTTATGAAACAAACTGCCTTGCAAATGCACAGTTTTTCAAAGGTGTTTCCGAGAAATAGACCAGAAGGCAATGAAAGTAGGGGTTTTTTGCCCAGGCATTTTGGTGCGAACCACGCGTATTTAAGCACTAGACGAAAAGTATGTGCATTCATTCGCTTGCCAAATGTGTACTGTAACAGAAGCTACGTGTTAAACAATTCCATAAGTGTTTTCAAACAGCTTGGAAATTCTGAGAAATCCTCTAAGCGTAGCATTTATGGCAGATCACTCTTCCACATACTTAAAACAATCAACATCAGTTCTTAACAAGGCTGATCTTTCTTTGTGGGCTTTCCACAGGAGTAAATCGTGGCTATTAGTACAAGGTAAAGCATCAAGATTGCAATGTGATTCCTTTACTTAATCAGTCTCCTCACTTGGTATAATGTTCAATCAGATTTATTAACCACGAAACATGACTACTTAAGTGAATCTTAGGCTAAATTCTGTCAATTGTACTTTTTACTAACTGACTTCAAAATGATGGTATAAATCTTGGGTGACTCGAAAGAATTTGGAAGCCATTTTACTAACAGATCAAATGAGCATGATGGCTCTTTGCTATTTATCATACAAGCCATCTTATGCAAAGCGAAGGCATTCTTTGAAGAAGATTTGACTTCTGGAGTTTCTGGAACATATGATCTAGGCTTTGATTGAACCGAAACCCCTTCCGAGTAAGTTTACAATAGTTTTAAACACAGTCCCAAACGCATCAATTCGGAGTCAATCCAAGGGAAGACAATCTTAACAACCTGGCTTCAGTTCGACGCCAGATATCTAAAGGAAGTGAATTAATACTTTGATTTGTGCTATCTGGAGGTGCTGCAAATGACACGCCATCAAACGAATAAAATTCCTTAAAAAGTGCTCTTTGCTCTTGAGATTCCATTAGTTTGAATTTGAAACCGAAAGGGCCACAAATTGTCCCACTGAACAAATCAATTAAGGACCTAATTCGGTTCCTTGATTTCTGAGACATTTTTTTCATTACTTCTTAACACAGTTGCTTTACCTTATAAGGCCCCAATTTCCGGCGCTTGCACGAACCCCGCAAGAAGTATGGCCTCAGTAATACTAAATCTGAGTTTTAAAAAGCAACATGTAAGTCGATAAATATATACTAACTCTTACTAGTACTTATATATAAACCATTCGAATTACATTAACACCACAGATCGCAGCGGAATTTCGTACTTATCTAGAAAACTCTTAAGAAGTCAATGTTTTGAAAATAATGTGTGCTCTCAAACAGGCTAAAAAAATAAGCAGAACGCGTGTTAGGAGGATTTTTGAAACCCACACACCTTGATTGACAGAAAGTTGGCGCGATAGCGGTCTCCTTTAAGGACCTAATGAAATCATAAGGCGTAGCGAGTTGTTGCAGTTGAGTAAGTTCGAAATTTTCTGCACAAAAAAGTAAGATGCTTCCCTACTCCAGCAATACAGGGGGTGGTGCTGGGATATACAAGGATACGGCTTTTTGACAATTACACTTCACAAAGCAATAAAGTAATATGGAGTACTTGACAACACAGGAGATAAGCGGTCACGGAACATGTGCTGTTTTAAGTCTCCAGTTGCTGTAATTTCACAAAAAATACCTGACAGCTAGCTGAATTTCTTTGAATACTGCAATCGTGAAATAGAAGTATTGTTTTCGTTTTAGATCTACTTAATCGGACCACCAATCGGTTCAGCATTAGCTGTCATAGTCTATGAGACTTTCCTCTCAGAGGACGCTTCTATTGTAAGACTGATGGCAATGTTTAACTTTCGCAAACCTTTCAACCGTCATATGTTTTACTGGACCCCTGAAGCGAGCGGCCTGCCACCACAAACTCAAAATGCCAATATCTATCTTGACTATTTCCGTATCAGCGAACTATCCTCCACTCTATCTGGCAAAACTGACTCCGACGAAAATGACTCCTTCGTTGTCAGATCAATAACTCCATTTTCATCAACTCAAGACTCCAATAAGTCACGTTTTCTTCTTCTGAAATCGCACTTAAACTCTGACTCTGAAGGCCAGATGCCAATGCCAAAGACGAGAAAAGGCAAGAGTGAGAAATCTGGTGGCGTATTTTCGAAAGAGGAAGGAGATTTATCAAAGAACCCACCACTGTCTGTGGATGCATTGCAATCGGATGAGTGAACTAAAGCATTACAAATTAAAGTTACAAAGCATGTTCCTGGTCAGCACTAGCTTAGCCTTCTCTCAACAGGCATGCGCACCTTAAAAAACCACACTGCGTGCGTTATAATAACAATTACTGGACCATTTATCCAATATGGTTAAAACCTAAAGCCACCCACACTAATGCGTTGTAGTAGAGACTTTTAAAGAAGGCAAAAACTTTCACCAACATTAATAAGGATAGCTCTTCTTCTAAACTTACTAAGTATATGACGAATTGAGGCTGCAAAATTAGTTGAACTAAATCTTTTCTTTTAACGTTAAATAAATGTAGCTCAAAATAATTTCCACAGAAAGCAAGGCATGGTCTTTCGTAAAGATAATTGTCATTTCTCTTGATTTATTTGATCTCTTGTAGGTAAATTTTTATGTGTTCATGAGGTAGATGTGCGTTGGAAGGCAAAAACGTCCAAATAAACGGCCAGATAGTCCTAACGTAATTCGCAAGCCAAAATGTCAAATATTGCCAGGTCTTGGATAATGTGCTAGGGAGAATTTATTTTAATATTTTATGCAATTTACTCAATGTAGACCCCGTTTTTGTGCAGCTTTCACAGACCTGCACAACCACGCCATCATATTATACTAGGCTCGGCTAATCAATTTCGTGCCTTTCATTGAGGGAAAAGTTTTATTGAATATGTTGCAAATAGGACTCACGCGAATTCGTTAATAACCACCGTACCTTCTAGGCTTCTGCCATCCACAAATGCCGAAATATTTTGGCGATACAAAAAGCAATTTAGCTTGCCGGTTTATTGTTACCTTACTTTATCCTATAAAACTAGTTCCTTCCTATTGCTAATAGGGATATTTCGGCCTCATCTTGAAGACTAAGTATCACGATAATAATATATGCAGAAAGTTGAAAAACTGTGTACTGCGACATCCTGAAACAAGTGTCTTAAGCAGTTTGAAGACGTGCCTAAACGATTTTAAAACATTTCAGTTGCCTAAATCCAGGTTTGAAGCCATGTACCCACACCATTAATGATGATCGGTTTATAGCTATTATCAGTCCTAACGCTCTGCTAGTAAACATACTGTTTTTTGTTCACCTATTGAGAGCTCTGCCATTTTAAAATATTATATGCCAATTATGAGACCTGCATGTACTTCATTCTACAAGCCTTTATTTGGTGGCTTGAATTGGCTACTTTCATAACAAATATTTTTCGATTTAAAAAGCTCATTATTGATAAAAAGAGGACTAGCATCAAGGTCCCAGCCTTGTTAGGCAAGACTTGACAAGCTCGAATCTGAAATAAGAGGTGGTCAGACGGTGTACATTCAGGACAATGCGAAGTCGCCAAAATGTTTGCTTTGTGATTGGCCGATTCCTACCCTTTGCTTTGATTATGCGTAGCTTCGTTGGTTGTCACCGTGTGACAACCAACGACTGATCTTTTAATTCTCTGGAATTTTCTAAAAACACCGAGACTCAGGTATTTAACCACGACCCCTCAAAGTTACTCGTTATTTGATCATGAATAGCTCCAATGGGTAGATCATGCCGCTTGCCAACTTGGACTAAAAAATCGCTGTAACACAAATTTCTAAACTGACTCCGACACATATTTCGTTAAGCACTAAACACCGCCAACCTCGTGGAGTCTTTCGTGCTTCGGTAGCCCTCTTTTCTGCAGAAATAAACAAGTATGGCAGGAATGATTGCTTGTTGCACCCGGTCTTAGAGCTGACACCAAGTCAACATCTGAGAAAAAAAATATGCGTCACCTACTTTTTAAGGGATCATGAAAGTGAAACCTATCAACCGAGTCAATGGTCTCGATGGACAAGCTTCACGCCAAAACCATTTCTCAGCCAAGTAGCTTTTTGCATTTGAAAAAATGGCAGATTTTGCGCGATCAGCTCATCGCGTCAGACAACCTACTGCAGGAAATATACAAAATGGCTGATTCGTGTAGTTACGTCGACTTAAGAAACTAACAAACAATTAACTGCATAATTTGTATTAAGAACGTTAAAACGACGCTGAAACATCATCAATAATAGATTTCGTGTAAAAAAAATAATGAATTTAGGTAAAGCATGTAATGGTGAGTGTGGCTGAGAAATCACAACTAAAATGTAGGCGAAGACAGGATGAAGAGACGTTGTTTGTTAGCTGTAATCCACTTCGTGAGTCGTTTTACTATGTCAAATGCCTCGTGCTTGCTTATCAGTGGTTCCAGCGTCATGTAGACTTCGTAGTCGCTTGTTTTCTAAAACAGGAAGCGGTAGAAAGGTTTATAAAATAGAGATTAAGCATGAATGGAAGGGGTTCCGTTAAGACCGATAAACAAAGAATGAAAATGCTAAGTATAGTCGGACGGCAAAGATCCACCTGTTGCTAAATTTTGGGCCAAAGCAGTATTATAGACGTGGTACAGACGAAGCACCCTTCAGTACACAAGAATCCAACACAACAGTGATGAAGTAACGATAAGACGACGTTATAAATTAAAGTCCACTGATAAGTTTATCTTGATCAAGTGATTTAAACAGTCATAATGAAATTAGTTGATGTGGAAAAAAATGGGGCATGTACGAGGATGTTCAAATTACCGACGCCAGGTAGGCTTCCGTGTCGGAGGACTGGAACACGCTACTGATCGGATGGAGTCGACAGTGCAGCTTCGCGTGGAGTCCGCGATATGTGCGAAGAACAGCAGCCTGCCTTTGCTTGACAACAGCAATGCCGTCCTCTGGTAGAGACGAAACAGCGGCAGAAGCAGATGCAAAATTGTAGGGCGCGGTCCATTTGCATGTTGTGTATTGGGCCGCCGGAATCAGCTTACAGACAAAGTGACGCAGGCCACCACCGAAACCAAGTGATGCAACGTCCGGCCAGGTTGCCGAGGCCAAGCGCTGCAGGCATTCACCCTGCAGTGCAGATTCTAGGCGCTAAGGGGGAGAGAATGCACACACCTAGACGGCTGAAAGCGTCACAGAAGCTATCCTGGCGTTTGTTCGCTTCGAGCACTCGAGTAAGATCGACCTCCTTAAGTGCAGAAAATCCTAATCTGCCTTTAGGCTAGAAGTGCACTAGAAATTAGGGTGGTTCGTGCGCATGGGGCAATGGAAATTAGATGAATGCAAATCATTAGGCAACATTGTGATAAAAAACCTACGTTCACAAAACCTCTGCAGCCGAACCCTAATGCAAATCGCCCACAAATCGTTTCATAGTGCTGTTAAAATATTACTTTATACAGCATGCGAAGAATGGCCAAATAATTAAACAGGTTATCAGGACTCACCGATAAGATCAGGTCCCTAGAGGTTTGAAGCGCATAGAACTGATTGCCATCAACAGTTAGCAGAACCAAGCAGGAGTGGTTATCGAGATACGAGAGATTAGCGTACAGGTAACCGCTACAATATTTGCAGTAAAATAGAGCACGGTTCGATGTGACGAGACAAAATTTCCAAGGACGTACTTGGAGTTGAATTTCGGCAAGCAAATTGGCAACCAATTGGTAGGAGCGTTTCTGAAAGATTGGGAGCACCGCACGAGATTTGTGATTAAGTGAATGTCCATTGGGTGAAGAAAGTGCTTCTTCATACTAACGATACACACGACGCGATAGTTGGTCAGAAGAATAGCAAACACAAGGTCCTTGAAAAAAAGAATAAACTTTGTAGGTACCGAAATTTGCACGCCAACGTAAAATTGGTTTGCAGAAATTCTTTAGAAGACTCTATGTCATAAATAACCATTGCAAACGATTCAGGCAGTAGGAATGTAAATGGTATTAAATTAGTTATTTTGAAAAACAAATTGTAGAGCATTACCTGGTGACAACGAAAACATCTATTTGCTTGAATAAGATACATAATCCGATGATTGGGTCAATTATGGCAACCAACCAGCCGAGTAAACCCCCTCTTCAGCCTGTATTTACGCACAACTTCACATGCAGACCACTTCCTTTTCCACCATGAAACAAAATAAGACAGAAGAGGGCGTAGTTGAATGAAAAAACCCACATGCTCGTAGTACCGGGGTCAATTTACTGAAAAGAGGTCGCTTGTACTCGAATAGCGCACCCGCATACATAAACGTTTGTCCGTAAATCAACGCGCAGGCACGTTCATTTAAAGAAGTACAGT